GCACCAGAGTGTCGGCTGCAGACATTAGGCAGAAAAGAAGACGAGTTGGCACCTTAAGTCTACGCCGGTCCGCCAGAATGACAAGGGCGATGCCCAGATTACCCAGGCTTCCGGCCAGAATTAAGAGGGCTCCGTAAAACGAGATTGGTACCACGAGGCGGACGTCGCGGGGTGGCATGGACCGATTGGTGTTCGTGTCTAGGCAAGCGAACGTCCAGAATCCCGGAGGAGACGAGGACTCGGGCGAAGAGGATGGAAGACCGATGGGCGAATTCATCGCTTCCTCTGACAGGCTGAGTGGAGAAGAGCAAAGGATGATAGAGAATTCAAATAGGAAGGCTTGTAACCAGAGGCCAAGTACATTCTACATTTTGTGGGCTCTTTTTACACAAACCATAATAAATCGTTTTTAGTCTAGATCACAAGCAGATGAGGGCCACTTTCTGATAGGGCCTTCGGCCAAATTATGGCATCAAAAATAATCATATTTTTAAAATTCTGATGACAAAGGCCAGAGACTTCCAGATATGCAGCAAAATCCATCCTCCATAACAGTATAGCCTATATTGTTATCAAAAGCCATGACAACCGTAAATATTACAAGCTGTAATATCTTAGTTTCCACCGGGTGTGATTATTGATTCAACTTAAAGTATCCGGTATGGATACCGGAGAAAAAGAAAAACGTGTGAGTGCGTGTTCATGTGTGTGTGTGTGTGTGTGTGTGTTTGTGTGTGTGTGTGTGTGTGTGTACGGGTGAAATTCGGGGACAAAAGTGGTAGGATAAACCCACACTTCCTCCTCTTCCATGCGCCTTCTGGTCCACATCAGTCTGAGGTGCAATGTTAATTCGATTACCTTCATAACTGATGTGTTGAGTCTGTATTTTTTAACATGTTCAGAAAATTGGAGATAGGGTTGTTTACTTTTGGCACTGGATGAAATTGGGGTATCTAATGGCGGGTCTATCCGAAAAAGCTCAACATATTCTATTGAAAATATTGGTTCTATGGCAAAACCATCTGTTACATTCATTCAAACTAACTGATTTTTTTAGCAATTTATAATTTGGTTTCATTGACTGATACTGGCATACCTTTCATTTGGTTTGAAAAGGCGGGTAGAAGATACTCGCAGATTGGCCTCACCGGATACCAAAGGAGGGTTGCCTTGGACTTTTGTCTTTTAAATTGTGCCAAGAAGACCTCTGCTTGCAGTTCTACGACCCCGATGACTCAGTGCTGAGCTTTTGTCTGACATGCGACGGGCATAGTCAGAAGCAGAAATCATTATTCATGAATAATCGCTAAAACCACTAAACCAACCACCTTTTTTGGTTTATTGGTTTTGGTGATTGTTTGTGAATAATGGTTTCTGGCCCTGACAATGCCCGTCACATGACGGACAAAAGCTCAGCACTGAGTCATCGGGGTCGTAGGACAGTGACCCGAGGTATTTTTCACCCATTCAACAGACAAAAGTTCAAGGCAACCCTCCTTCCACGCGCCTTCTCAGAAGAAATGACATGTTTGCCAATAGCAATTTACTAAGAGATTATTCGAAACTAGCTTCTCTTCATATTTCACAGACTGATTTCTTATTTGACTGCAAGCGACTCCATCGACGACGAATACAGGAGAAAGCTTGATTCTTCAATTAATTTCACTTTTCTATGCATTTAACAGTCATTCTCATCCATACTGACCAATTAATCAGCACCTACAGTTGGAGTCAAGTCTGGTATTCCTGGCTCGTGGAATACATTATCCACCTCTTGACCAGTAGGTACACAGTTCGAATCCCGCC